GGAATTGAACCCTGGTTTCCAAAATAATAGTCCAACACTCAAACCAGTACGCCACCAGGTATCTTGTCCTCTTGCTGGTTAGGCAACCAGATACCCTCCTTTTCCAGGACACATCCTACATTTCAACTTTTTGTCCAGGAGCATGACGAAGAAGCATGAATTTTTATGTATATTGTTTTTAGCTTAAGTTTCATATTAAGTGTGTGTTTTTAAAGCCCTACATTGTTCTTGAATGCCCTCCATTTTGTGGTGCCTTGTCCTTCTCTGTGGTTAGGACAACATCAGGTCACCCTGCCTTAAATGCCATTGCAAGAAACAGCATGGATAACATGGGGATGTCTACATTTGTGAGTTGCGTGGGGCAGCAAGTGTGAACATGCCTAGAAGGCTAGACACCTCATGCCTCAAGGGTCTCCAAAGAGGATGCACAACAGATAGAAACTCTTGGCTCTAAAAGGCAGTTGCGCTCTTGTGCTAGCTCCCTACCATCCTTCATGTGGCATGTGGAGGAATGGTGTGTGTGTGTGTGCATGCATCTGTGTGTGTGTGTGTTTTGCATTGTGTGCCAATGAAGAGTGCAAATAGTGTACAGCGCAAAGCTGGAGACGTGTGGTGGCCTGGTGCAGAGAGTGATCCTTAACTGCCTCTCCCTTGACTAACTTTAGCTGTTAAGTTGGGAGCCCCGATGAGCATCATGGCTTCCTCTTGTTCCTAATTTTGACCCATCTAAACTTATTTAAATCTTGATTTTAAAGTCCTGCTGGAGAAGGTGACCAGTTGTCCTAACCGCAAAGGAGGACAAGGCACCACAAAACATTGGACATTTAAGAAATAATGTAGGACATGACTAAAGAAAAGCTAGAAACACTTAATATAAATGTAAATGCATGCTTCTTAGTAATGCTCCAAATGGAGGACATTCTGAAATCCCTTCTGGGCAGAAGGTTGAAATGTAGTATTTGTCCTGGAAAAGGAGGATGCCTGGCCGCCTAAGCACAAAGGAGGATGAGGCCCTGCAAAATGTCAGACATGCGGGGGGGG